GCCGTGAATAGTATCACCTTGTAATTTAGATAAATAATATTTACACTGAGCTATATGTTTAGTGTTACCTTCATTGTCGATCTCATCAATTATGTCGAAGTGATCTCAAACTGTCGAGGTGTGCTTGCATTTCCTCTTAGTGGTTGCAACACTTGCAGACGCAGTCGCATTGGCACTCGCCGTTTCTCCATTAGACCACCGGTTGCGCGATCAAAAGATAATTGTGTTTGGCGGAATTCGGGTCCGCCGGATTGGCTAAGCTTTTGAAGACACATTTCGGAGTGTCTTCTCAAGTGTATGGTGCCGTGAATAGTATCACCTTGTAATTTAGATAAATAATATTTACACTGAGCTATATGTTTAGTGTTACCTTCATTGTCGATCTCATCAATTATGTCGAAGTGATCTCAAACTGTCGAGGTGTGCTTGCATTTCCTCCTAGTGGTTGCAACACTTGCAGACGCAGTCGCATTGGCACTCGCCGTTTCTCCATGCCCGCCACCATTGCGACCATGACCTCTAGTACGTCCACCAGGGCTCGGATTAATAGATTCTTGCGTAACAAATTCATTAGTGGAAAATTACCCTTCTTCCACGTTGTGTTGAGCATCAATAGGAATACCACTAGAACCAAAAGGATCCATTATAAAAAAAATAATAGTGATTTGAGAGAGAGAGAGTTTTAGGATAATGTGATAGTTTTTAGAAAAATTGTAATAGAGATTTGAGAGATTGAGAGAAATTGAGAGAGATTGAGAGAGTTTGAGTGAGAAAAATGTGTGGGGGATGAGGGGTATTTATAGGAAAATTTTTGGGTTAAAAAATTGATTTTTTTTTTTCAAAAAATTCAGGCTGCAACGGCTAGTTTAGGGTTTGGCGGGTTTGGGTTCGGGCAAAAACTAGCCGTTGGACGGGTTTTTGGGCATCTCGGGTATTCGGGTTGGGCAGCTAACAGTCGTTTTCTAACCGTTTTTCATGATTTTCGGGCTCGAACGGGTCGGGCATTCAGGCAAATCGGGCCTGGGCGGAAAAATTCAAAAAAATACTCCGGCGTGGTCTCAAAATTCGGGCTGCCTGAGCCCGAGCTCGAATATCCACCTTAGACGGGCTGGCATATGGGTCTGTACGCCCGAGTTTAAAAAAATTCGGGCTTCGGGCGGCCCGCCGGCCTGAAGTTCCACTACTGCCAAAACCATACAATTGACTAGCATTAACATTACAACCAATAGTTTTTATATCACATCAAAGGTTTAGTTTTATCATTTCGTATTCAAACTTTGATACTCTTGAACCCTTCCTTCTCTCCCACTCAATATTGTTTGCAGTGGCGCCACAAATTAATCAATCAACCTTTTTTTTATTTGTTTTTTCCCCTGTAATCATTGGTTTTTTATTCAATCAACTAAAGCTTCTATTATTTCGTTATGTACTTATTTTTGTTATTTTTTTAAAAGGGTTTGTCTTTTTATCTTGATTACAAATATCTTGATGTACAAGGGGAGTGAAAAGAGTAGGAGTTTATAGGTGTGAATGTGACGAAATATCGTATACAACTTTCATTTTAATTATTATAGTGAATATGTTTGTTAGAGAAGAATTTTGCGTCCTCAAGCAAGAAATGAAAAGGAAATGAGAGAACTAAATCAGCCTAAAGCAAGCGTATAAAAATTGACTTGTCACTGAGAGTGGTCATAAATATTGCAAATCCTTTCCCTTTTGGTAACATTTCAAATCTAGGACTTGAACCAAACCCACTTAAAGAGTGTACGTGAAATACTTGTACACGGCACTATTGCTAATTATTGGCGCGTTTGAAATTCGTTCTAAAATGATTTTATTTTTTTTATGAAAATGATAATGAAAACGTTTTTAATTTCAGACATAAATTATTTTTAAAAATGCGTTTGGTAGTTTTATCAAGAGATTATTTTCAATAAAAAAAACCCATTAATATTTCTCTCTCTCTCTGCTCGAGAGAGGAGAAAACAAAAACAAAAAATGAAAAACAACTAAAAGTCGTTTTTCATTTCTCTCTCATTTTACACTAAATTAAAAAATCGTTTTCATTTTCATTTTTTATCATTATTGCGCAAAATGTTATTTTAGAAACGTTTTTAATTTTTTTCTCAAAAAACGTGTAAAATAAAAATAGGATCAATTCCAAACACAATCATTATGTTAGATAGATTAGTAACATTCTTGTTTGCATAGTTTGATTTCATTATTATAAATGATAGTAAAGTAAGTGGAAGCAATGGAGAGGGTGCTATCGTTAATCTTCACATGCTTTTCTCTAACCTACAACAACAACAACAAAAAAGTAAGTAAAAGCCTTGGATATTTTCTTTCCTGTTTTAATCAAACACCTAAGATGAGAAATCAATAATATTCACTAATGTTACAAGGACCCATTTTTCTGATTGAAGGGCTCAATAACTTAAAAAGGGATTTTAAAGATGGACCCAAAAAAAAAAAAAAAAAAAAAAAAAAAAAAAAAAGAGAGAGAGAGAGCCCTTAATTTCACACTTCTTTAGCTTTCTATGCTAAGACCGTAATATTCTCTTGAGGGTCTCACAACTCTTCATCATGCACTTAACAGCTGCTGTGACGCACTAATAATTTGCCTAAATACTTTTATGGGGCGCTTAAATCCAACGGCTAAGATTTGAAGCTCCTCTCAGCTACCAATCTCTAACCGTTCCTGCCCTTTTCTTAACTTAAAAGTAACGGCTACATAAGACACGCTAAGGATGTTTCTTGGGTGTTTCCAAAAAAGCAACTTCTGCTGCAGATTCTCCTTGTTTTCTCTCCTTTTGACCCCTTTTTTTCCCCCCTCTGATTGAGCAGCTCAATAAACTCAACAAGCCCACAACTCAAGAACTTCCAATATTTATTTGCTTTTTTTAATAGATTAAGGGGGCGTTTGGTAGAGGGATTCGTTCTCTGATTCAAATCATGATTTGTGGTTCGTTACAGTATTTTTTCTCACAAAAAATACACATAAATCGAAAATAATTCGAATCACATGGTTTGAATCCTCCAACCAAACGAACCCTAAGTACTGGCCACACCGTTCATTATAATCATGGCTATTCAATAAAATGACCATATTGAATTTTTTTCACTAAAAAGATAACAAAAGGCTATTGGCCATTCCCCAAGGCACAAGAAGTCTATCTCCCACATGATGACCCTTTTAAAAGTTTCAATTATTCCAAAGTGCTCATAGATATCCTCCGTATCCTCTGCTTTCATTCATCTATATAATTCAAAAGTATGTTTCTTAAGGGAAAAACAATTATTAAAATAACTCAAATGCTTGCATAAATGAACCTTTTAAAGCCCTGTTACATGCCTAGGATACACCAGAGAGAGTGCAAATGCATTGTTCGTGATTTTGATTATTGCAATGGGCCCCACTGAATGATGTTGGCCCCCACATGTTCGCCATGTGTACAACTCCTGGCTCACAAGTCAACTTGTGCTTAATCACCATAGGGCCATGTATGCATAATACGAACTATATATAATTGGCACCACTTCTGATTGGCTCTACTATCTCTTTTGTGTGTGCTAGCGCAAAACGGAACTGAGTTGAAAGTGAAACAACAATCCATTAACAACAAAACCCCAATTGTCACGTAGTTTTTTCTTTTTTTAGTGGAAAAAATCACTTTTTTTGTTGTGAAGTGTTCATGGGAAGTGATAATGAGAACCACTATTCTTGAATATGGGCAATGAAAAGGAAATTTTCACTTGTAATTTACTGGCAAACGGGGATAAGTTTTTTATTTTTATTTTTCCTTTTCTATAACTGACTGGAAACTTGTTAGTCTCTCCTAGATGTTATTATAAACTGATATTATACATTCTCGTAGAGAATTTAAAGAAAATTCGCAATACATAATCAAATGCTATTTCTTTGGACTTAAATTATTGCAATGACAAAGGTTAGTGAATGAATTACTTTTTCTTTAATATAATTTGAAGTCAATCAATCATATGAACGTGCAGAAACCTCATTTGCTTTAGAAAAAAAGGCTAATCTCGTCCCACCCACAAATTGGCCCTTTTCCAAGTCATAACAACCCTTTTGAGTTCAAGATATGTGTTATTGGATTCACATTAAGGTGGAACATCCATGCATGCATGCATGGAATTCGGTGATCAACAATGTGCATCAAGTGGTGGTCTACTGATCCTACGGTTGATATGGAACATCTTACCTACAAGTTTTACTTTATCATTATTAAATTGAATAGAATCAGTTATGTGGTAAGGTGAAGAAAAAATACCCCACCAGTAGTGTACAGTACTTTACCTCCAGTTCTTTGTTATATTTTTGTCAATAGCTTCAAATGTTTTTACGATATGATTCTCATGTGATATAACGATTTAGACTTTAGAGTTACGTAAATACTCGTAGGGTATGTTTTTGTACCGTATCGCATAATTCTCATTAAACTAATTAAACTACATTCCAAAAGTTTACCAAATAAATATCTTTTGCAACTACTTTGCAAAGTTCACCACCAGAGGGAGCCTCTGGTGCTGCCAGTCAAAAGCATGGGAATGAAATAATTGCTTCTTTCTGCCCTTTATAACCCCATCAATCATACCCCATCTTTCCTTAACCTTGTTAACCTCCTCTCTTCTCTCTTCTCTCTTCTCTCTTCACTCTTCTCAACTCTCTCTCTCTCTCTCTCTCTCTCTCTCTCTCTCTCTAGCTTCTTGCAAATGTCTCAACTCTTCATAAAGTCTCCCAAACACTGTGGCAAACAAGGAGTGAACATTGAGAAGCTCTACAAGAAGGTCTTCCTAGCCTTCTCAGCACTTTTCACCACAATCCTCTCCATAATACTCCTGGTTTGGCTAATCCTACGCCCCACAAAGCCTCAGTTCTCCCTCAAAGAAGCTGATATCTACCAACTCAACCTCTCAAACTCTCACCTCCTCAACTCCTCTATCCAACTCACTCTCCTCTCCAAAAACCCGAATCAGAAAATCGGAATTTACTACGATGAGCTACAAGTTTATGCTGCTTATAAAGGACAACAAATCACAGTCTACACTTCTCTCCCTCCTTTCTACCAAGGCCATGAAGATAGCAATCTCCTATCAGCATCTCTAGGGGGAACTGGTTTACCTGTGGCTCCATCATTTGGTTATCAAGTGGTACGTGATCAGACGGTTGGGAGACTAGTTCTGAATCTCAAAGTCAATGGACGGCTCCGATGGAAGGTCGGAACTTGGGTCTCCGGCCGGTACCGGTTGAACGTGAATTGTGTTGCTGTTGTGGCTTTTGGACCTGCTATTCCAACAGGTCCACTTTCTTCAGAGCAAGGCACTCAGTGTTCCACATCTGTTTGAAGCTAAACAATATTGTTACTAACATTATGATCATATTGCTCTTTGCTCTTCATGAGTGAGTTGCTTCTTTGTTTTTGGATTGTTTTCTTTAATTGTATTTTGCTGCTGCTATAAAAGTGTTTCTGTGAAATGTAAATTAGCAATGACTAATGGGAAAGAAAGTAATAACAATTGTAAGTCTATTTGGATTGTGAATCTTAGATATCTACTTTTATTTATCATTCTTACTTTTGATAGATATTTGCCTTGCATGTGGTGGGAAGTGACTATGAAAAGAGAAAGAAAAGGTGAAAATGTTTCATGTATAATGGTTCATCCTTTTTTCTTTTGGTGGGCTTCTGAGAATATTGGAGGATAAGGATTGTTTCTGCTTTGTTATGCTTTGGTTGTGGGTTTTGGGAAGGAGGAAATTAAAAAGACCTGGCTGAAAGAGTTAATGATGACGGGGTGAGATTCCAAAGAGAAAAGATGAGAATAGGAGAGCGGTTGTCTGCTTTTTGATTATTAGTATTTTTGTTTTTGGTGAAGGAATCTCTAAAATTTTTACAGTTCAATCCCTTTCTCACCTTTTAATTTGTGACTTATTTAAGAGAGTATTCTTGCCTCCTCTTGCAAACAAGTACTGGATTCCTTTGTATCTTCCATGTTGCAACTTGAATCTCTTTTTCTTTGCCTGCTTTGAACCATACCCAAGGAATGAAATTTGGTTCTGTCCTGAAATGAATATACTGGAAGATATTCTATATCTTTAAAAATGAGATTATATATATGTGTGTGTGTATAAGCTGATTTTATTAGTGAACTGGCTCTGCCTCTATATTGATGGAATTAAGGAAAGATGTAAACTAGAATATTAGCTCTTCTTCTCTTTGAAAAAGTACGGATGACCCATGATTTAAATGAAATTTGCCAATCATCTAATTCACTTGATCAATAAAAACCAGTGTCCAAAATTTTCCTGGTTTTTAGAGAATGAAGGCAGGAAAAGATAAGGTTAGAAACAGAACTGCATATCCGCTACCAGTCTCCAGTTTGGATCCTTTTCATTTTATCTTTATCTATGGTTTGCTCAAATTAGCAAACTCATACACTAAAGCTGCAGGAGACAGGGACATGTGGCCGTCGGTTAACGCAGCCATTTTTCATCAAAAGAAAATTGTATCTAAATAGTTAAAAAGAAAATTCAAATGAAACAGACAAAAAATGCTCTCTTTCTTTCTATCTCTCTCTCTCTCTCTTTAATTAAAAAAAGCAAAAGAAACACAAAGATGGAGAAAACCTACTGCCACAAATTTCAAAAGTATGTGAACTTTCTCAGGATCTTAAAAGCTAGCCACCTCTTACCTGAAACGTACCCCACAAAAATGACCACTAATAGCTGAAAACCCCAGAAAAGAATTATTTATATTGCCGTTAGCAATCAACAGAAGATTGCTGATAAAAAAAAAAAAAAAATCAACAGAAGAAATTGTTTATGGCTGTTATGTCATATATCCTCAATAAAACATAATAAGAGAAAACCCAGTATCAGGTAAATTCTGAATTGCTAATCTATGATGGTTCAAGCTGGCAAGCTTTCACAGGAAATGGGCTCATTAATACTTATGAAGGATATGATGATTACCAATGGAAACAAACAGCTTATTTAAACATAACCCCACCAAAATTGGCCTTGTATTTCCTGAGCTTACCAAGACAAAAGCTGCTTTTTGAGTCTTTCCCAAGGTTATTTTAGACCCCACCATCACCAAACAGCCACCAAACTTAATTGCCTCTAATAGCAATTAGCAACGCCGGGTGTGGGAAGCTCACGCCCCCACCAAAAGCAGAGTGCAACTAATGAATTAAAAATTATATTCCAGTGAAAAATATAGCCAAAGTCCAAAAGTAATTTCTAGTTAGACAAGTAAACTAATTCAATTCCATAAACTCAAAGAAGAATCTACTTTCTGTTAAATCATGGAAAACAACTTTGCATATAAAAATAAATTAAGATTTTAATACAGATAAAGATAAACTACTATGATTGACATACGTGTACAAAAGCAGGATTTGGGCTATAGATACTGAATCATAGAGATATAGTAATTAAAAACATGATCTATAGTATAATTGTGTAAAGCCTTCTGTTTCTGGTTTTTGAATTTCGATCATTAACAAAGTCCACATTGCCAGCAGCTATAGACTATACATCTTTGATAAGGAAAGGCTTTTTCAAAGGACTTTTTTCATTAATGTGTCAACAATGAGACCTGTATAATTAAATTGAATTATCTTCAAGGAGGATCAAAATAGTAAGCATGCTATATCGTAGTATTCTATTTACATCAGGTGATTCACCTTTATATAAATGATGATATTCCATATTTTAAAAAGAGAGTTTTTCCCGATTAAATGTACTTAAATCAAGACTTTTGCTTTTTCCTCAATCTGCGGCTTAGATGTGACCCCAAGAGGCGAGTCTTGAACAGAGTAGTGACTAGTGAGTAGTGAATAATATTGCAGCTATACTGGGTATGACCTTCAAGGTCAAGGTTTAAGTCTGGACACGAACCAGATAGAAAACTGCTATAGATATTGTGATGGACATCGGTCAAAGTTGTTAGACTAGACTAGAACAAAACCAAAGAGGAAAATTTAAAGGACTGCTATAGATATTGTGATGCACATCGATCAAAGTTGTTAAACTAGAACAAAACCAAATACGAAAATTTAAAGGGTACTTATATGGTAAGGCCTCATGTTTCTAAATTAAAAAAAAAAAAGGAAAACAAAAGATGAGTTTAGAACTCGTTTTAAAATAATTTTGTTTTTATATGAAAATAAAAATGAAAACGTTTTCAATCTCAGACAAAAATTATTTTTAAAAATGCACTTATTAGTTTTATCAAGGGATTATTTTCAGTGTAAAAAAACCCATTAATGTCTCTCTTTCTCTCTCTACTCGAGAGAGGAGAAAACGAAAATAAAAAATAAAAAACGACTAAAAGTCATTTTTCATTTCTCTTTCATTTTACAATAAACTAAAAAATTATTTTCATTTCCGTTTTTTGTCTTTATTGCGCCAAACGTCATTTTGAAAACGTTTTCATTTTTTCTTTCTCAAAAAACATAAAAAATAAAAAAGTGATCAATTCCAAACACGGCTAAAGTTTCTAATTTAAATTTGATAGCTGAAAAATAAAAAACTATCAATGGTTTATTTTTTCATAGAAACCTCCAAATTCAAATTCAGAACATGGAGAAGAACGAAGGGAGATGATAAAAATCAGAGCATATATGAAAAAACAGAAAACACAAGTGATCATATTTTCCCCCTAAAATGTGTAGAGTTTCAATGAGACAGATCCTGTCTCTTCTTCTCTGTTTCTCAATAAAATTAAAAGTCAGTCTGAGTCCTTGTGACTATACAAAGTGCTTGACTTGATTAGATGCCACAAACCTATCTTCAGAAAAGGGGATTTTTCAAAAAGAGAAAAGGTTCCACTGCTGAATTCAAAGCAAAAGAATTCTATACACTTACTGGGATTCACCCCCAAAAAAAAAAAACATTATTTCTCATTCAATAAAAACAAAAACAGTTACTTGCTATTATACTATTTTTATCTCAATTTTCATTCACCAAGGAAACTCAAAGATGAGATGATAAACATACTGCTGATAAACAAGAACATTGTAGTATATTTGTTTGTTTTAGTTCTATTATTTACGGTTCAATTCGTTTTCCTCTGCCACAAATCTATAAACACGTATAAACTTTTTGCGAAGCGTCTATTAAGATGGAAGTAAAAAATAATGTAAACAAAGCGAACGACATCAACTGTCAAGACCCACTCCACCAGTCACTCGGCTTCCAACTGCACTACTAATCTATATTGGCTTTTAAAAGCTTTGCTGCTGCCGCTGCTGATGATGATGATTTGATCACCATAAAGCAACAGCGACAAGGGCTAAAACATTTCTTTCTGGAGATAAAGCCAAATGCTTTATATGTGAGGCTGACATGCACAATCTTATGCCCCCTCTTTCAGCCAGAGTCTCAATCAATGTCAATTACTGTGCATAATTGATGTAAAAAGTTTATCCCATTCATGAAAAGTTAACCAAATCTTCTATGAGGTACAGGAACCAAGAATAAGCGGTTACTTCACACTTGTCTTTTTCCATAAGCCTTAAGTTTAAGGTATCATAAATTCATCAAAATCTTCACTTTTTTTTTGTCCTCTCTCTCTCTCTTTTATCGCTTTTGATTGTTGATTGTCCAGTAAAGTGATCTAATGTGAATTTACAGACCCAAAAAAAAATTCAAACCCAGAAGAAATTAGATGAAGTTAAAAGTAGATTTAAAACTCAAAGCTAATATAATATGACTGCAATCTCGTAACTTGGACAAGTATATCCACATCTTTATTTGAAGCAAAAGCCACCATCTTCTACAATAAACTTACAATTGAATCCATTATTTCTCTTGCACATTCTCATATACGAGGTCAATTATAGATAATCCAAGGTATGAACTGTATAGTATTAGCAACTCAATAACATGTATTATGAACTGAAACAATAAAATTCTGTCTTTTCACTTGGAGAAGAATACATTATAACAACACCTTTATTTGAAGCAAAAGCCATGGTCTTTAGAATAAGCTCAAATTGAATCCACTAAATGGCTTCTAATTTACAATTATACAATCCCAAGCAGAGGCTAATTAACAAATAAATCCCGCACTATATTATTAGCAACTCAAAAACACGTATGATTATAAACTGAAAGAATAATTCTCACTCTCATCACTTGGAGAAGAACTATACCAGCATCTTTATTCGAAGCAAAAGCCATCATCTTTACAATAAGCTCAAAATTTGAATCCTCTACTTCTCTTGAATTTATAATTATACAATCACAAAAGAGGTTAAATAATAGTTAACCAATCCTAAGTATGCACTATGTATTTTAATCCAGAACGTATGACTAATTAAGCTCAAATAAAACCCTAATCAAGGTTTAAACTTTAACAGAATCGGCACTAACCCATCTCCAAAAATGCTTCTTCACAGACACAGCCTTCTCTGCAACCCCAGAATTCTCGGAATTGCCGTACTCGTCGTCCTCCTCCGTGCAGAACTCGCCGTCGGGAAGCCCTTCCACGAACGCCTCCACCGAATGCAGCTCGTATCGAGCCGGCAAACCAGGGTACGACACCGAATTTCTCTCCTCCACTGTCTTCCGGTACGATCCGGGGACGATCATCACCTTTCCACCATCACCTATTATCGAGCCGAGCTCCTCTTGGACGGCGCGAGCGACGGCCGAATCGACGTCCTCGAACGGCTTCATCTTCTCCGACAAGGGCCGGTCGCGGCTCCTGACGGTCCCGTCGGAGAGCTCCTGGTGCGCCTCGATCAGAATCCGGTCGCGTCCGTCACGGATCCGTACGGTGACGACCGGTACGGTGCGAACGGGAGGGGTGGAGTCGGCGAGGGAGGTTTCGCCCTCGGAGAGCTCGAGCCAGAGGTTGTGGACGTTCTTGGTGCCGGGCTTGACGCCCCAGGAGGCGAAGGAGTCGGAGGGGAGGCGGGGACGGAGCCAGTCGGAGAGGGATTGGGGGTTGGCGAAGTGGTGGCGGCGGCCGCCGGGGAGGGACATGGCGGAGATTTTGAGGAGACGGCGAGGGCAAAATGGGAAACGGAGAATTTGGGATTTGGAGAGGAGGGGCTTTCCGCCGGCGGCGGAGGAGGAGAAGAGGAAGCAGACGGAGAGAGCAGTGAGGAAGAGATCTGGTAACGGTGGGAGCTTGATGGGGAGCTGGGGAAGGCTGATGTGGCGGGTTCTGACTGGCTGCTGCGGGGGTGACATGTCAACGAGAATAGGAGTTACATTGTATCATGTCGAAAAATGGAATTACCGGAAAAAAAAAAAAAAAAAAAAAAACGGAGGTAGAGAAAGGATTACCGGAAAATGGAGTTTTTGAGGTTTGTTTGGGATGGGATTTTCTTTTTATTTATTTATTTGAAAGAGATATTTCTGCTTTAATATTCCATTGTGTGGTTGTTGTTTTCATTTATTTGTTGATATGATTTTTTGGCGTGTGCTGTGCCTTTTCGGGTCACTGGGGTTTCTCAAATTGGGCTCCAATTACATTGGGCACAAAAAATGGGCTCCTCCACGAATTCACTTATGCCATAATATATAATAAGAGAAATAGTAGAAAATAGGTTAATATGAAAAGTTTAAGAAAATATATAGGTTAATTTTTAATTATAAAAATTAATATGTCATAATTTGTTAAGTTATGGTTTATAATTAGATAAGTTATGGATAAACTTATCAAGTTATAGTTCATAACCAGACAAGTTATGGATAATTATGGATAATAACTTGTCAAGTTATAGTTTATAATCAGACAAGTTATGGACGAAAACAGTAATTTGACCTATTTATTAACTTATGTAAACTATTAGCCTATTAATTTTAATTCATCTCAAGTCTTAACCTATTTCTCTCTTTCTCCTATATAATAATAATTACGGAGAATTATTCCAATCAAGATATATAACCTTAAGATACAAATTCTACCCACTTGTGACACCGTTCGGTAATTAACCAGTAACCGGTACACCGGCCGGTAACCAGCCGGATACTGACCGATAACTACCTTAATAACAATCGACTGAATAACAGTTACCCTTTGGTAAAAACATCATAATACCAATCGATTTTGCATTTGTTTTTAACATAATTTTTAGGAGAAAAACGACGTGATTACGCTTAATTCCTTCTTATTTTGTCTTGATTTTAATATAAATTCCAACAAAAGACTTTAAATATGACTAAATCAAAATTTAAAAGTTAAAGTGAGCGTGTTTAAAATTTTAAAAATGACTCTAAAATTAGGAATACCAATAAGATTAACCCAACGAATAATTTAGAATATCCATTGTGATAATAAAAAATCCAAAAAACTCACTCATTTTAAATTAACAATAGGCTATAAAGAAACAATGAAAAAGTTAAAAGTTATTCTGGATGAGACGAAAATTACGATAAATTTTTAAACTAACGAAGAATGGGAAAATTATTAAAACCTCAAATTTACAACTTTGTAATAACTCAATAATTATATTACAATTGTTCTCTCTAAGTATTGTTAATACTTTGACAGTGATGTTAAAACCATCAAAATTTTAATTTGTAACAACTTAACTCAGTATATGCAAACGTTCTCCAAGTGTTTTTAATACTTTCAAAATGCTCAATTTAATACTTCAGAATCGTTATCTAAAGGGTTTTCACCTTGTTGATTTTGTATTCCTTTTCTCTTTAAGAAACATGGATTATCATTTAAAAATATCGCATCATACCTGTTCTAAGGGTTAATCCCATAACTTGTCATCGAACTTTAACCCAATATCATTTTGGTCTCTAACTTCTAAAACATTCAAAATTTAACCTTAATCTATCAATTTGTTTTAGTTTTAATCTTTTTTATCACTTAAGTATTAAAAAAATAACAAAATATATATACGATATAAAATAACATTATGCTGACACATAATATGTATGGATCTTGATGAAAATAACATTTTACTAATAAAACATTTTACCGTCTTTTTAACATCCAATTGAAAGAAGGATTAAAACTGAAATAAATTGATAGTTCAAGGTCAAGTTTAGCATGTTTTATAAATTATGGACCAAAATAAAATTGAGAATGAAATTTAAGGATCATTCGTGATATTATAAGATAATGAATAATCATGCAAATTGTAGTATATCAAGGGGAAAAAGCTTTAATTGGTTATTTTTGCAATATTTGAGCTACACTTTCATAGATATAATAAATAGTGTGATCGAGTTTTTCCCTTACAGTATTATTATTGTTTTGTTTTTTTTTTTTTTTTTTTTGCTTAAGTTTTCTTGCGATAATTGTGCTTGGATTCAATAAATTTTAAAATTGAATTTAATGAAACATAAATATAATTTTATGTTAAATGACGGCGTAAATGAAAATGACGAAACCATTCCCATTTTTGAAAAAAAATGCTTGTATCAATAAAAAGTGAATTCCTGTGGATTTTATACTGAGACATATATTTTATTAGTGGGTCGGTGTCCAATAACATTGTTATTTTTGATATATGAAAATCATCATTTTTTTTCTTTTGGCAGTCTTTATGGTGCGGGAGGCTGACACGAGGGACTAGTGCGGTACCTAAAATATATAATGACTTAGCTTCTATTTGTTTCCTTAATTTGAATTTTATTGATTTGAACATAAAAATTTAAATTATGTGATTTAAATTATAATTTAAATTAACGTTTTAATGTGTAATTAAAGTTTTATTTTGAATAGGGAATAAAATTTAAATTTGTGTTTGATAGGAGTGAAAAGCAGAAAAAGTGAATACTTTTTTATTATTTAAAAATAATTTAAACGGTTGAACTTAAAAGGGAGTTAAATTTTAAGTTGGACTGTTTAACTCAGTTCAAACGGGAAATATAAATTCAAATTATATATTTACCAAACACTAATTCAAATTGTGCTCACTATTTTAAACTTGATTGAACTGAACTAAACCAATAAAACAAACGAGGACTTAAAATTTTAACAATTGGATGAGAACCATTTTTTGAGAACCAGTTAAGTGAATCCTAATATCTGGAGATAAAGGTCTTGTTCATTTCATCGATTCGAGTTTTCAGTTTTAGATTTATACAGTAAAAAACTCTCAGAAAATATCACATCTAACTTTTTCTGCTATAGTAAAAAACTCTTACAAAATATCACATCTCTACTTGAATCCGCGAAGTAAACGAGGCCAAATTGTTAAAATTGGACCATTTTTTGAGAACCAGAAACCTCTTATCACGGCCCAAACTCCCTCATCCCATGGCTCAAAAACCTCTCATCCCTAGCCTCATCCAAATTTCCCCACCACCTTTTCCTTGCTGAATTTCAGCCTTGTCTCGAGAAACCCATTTAGGTTTAAGAAAGAGCAAACCGAATCTGATTCTCACGGCCATCTTTGGGAGCAAAAGACATTGATTGTATAGCTTAGAGAAGAAGATAACAATTGTTTAAAACGAATGTATATTATATTATTTAGATGTGAAATCTTGGAGACTTAAAGCATGTTTGGTGCTGTCACAACTCCAAAGGAGGGACCGTGATTATTAGAGTTTAATTTAAAAATTAATTTAATTAAACTGGATTAATTAATACAAATCCATGAAAATAAAATATATAAATACCAAAATATATTACTCCGGAGTCTTTTTTTTACAAATAATATCAAAACAATCTATAAACTCAAAATTTATATATAATTCTGGGACAATGCCGACCAATACAGTTTATACAATACAACTCAAAAAAAAAAAAAAAAAAAAAAAAACAAACTGCAAATTTAGAGTAACACAAACCGCTTCTAAGCTGGAGCCTTCAATCCAAAGACGTCATCTTACCACACAGCAAGTCAAGCAGCTAACTCTGGATGGGGAAAAATATTTAAAAACAAGGATGAGTCGAATGCTCAATAGGAAGGAAACATGGTACGACAACAAAATAAGAGCAGAGACGATAGTTACAATAACCGAAATATCGATTTAACATCATAACACATGTAAAAGAAATCAACTCAAACCAATGAGTCTTAGCAGATACCATCAAATGCAGAATGAGGCCGATAATCATATTTCAAAGCTCTTTTAAAATGCTATATCATTCTCAAATTCATTTTAAAGTGATAGGACATCTATCACCCGAATAATCCACAAATACTAAGTATTTGTATTTCTGTTTAAACACTAGAACACCCAACCCCAAAAAAAAAAAAAAAAAAAAAAAAAAAAAAAAAAGAAGAAAAAATATAAAGATCATATGCCAGTAGTTTGAAATGCTCTTTCAAAGTACCGATACATCATCTAGTATAAGTGCAAAGCCATTTCACCAACCTACCCCCAAGGACGATCTCCATATCTCGATCTATGTGGCCATCATGCTGAATAAACTATCTAAACGCTCGTATGGATAACGTTTAAAAATTTACATATATCCTTCTCGAATTATTTCAATTCGAGACTTAATCACTTCTTTCTAAAAATTTACTTCTGAGAACCATAATTCGCGAAAGTCTTCTAGAAGATTTTCTATAAATGTGATCACTACATATATATATATATATACATACATTTTTTGAAATCCGTTTAAAATCTCAACATCGGTGAAAATTGACCTTTCACCGTGAGGTAAGAATCCACGAAGCATACCCAAAAGGGGAGAGAAATGCAACCTCATGCTCAAACGGGGCCAAAACTCAAGTAATATGGAAAATTTTAGCTAAAAATCAGATTTTTCAACATTATTGGGCAAAAATAAGTGTATCAATCGACCGGTGACAATGAAATATAAGAACATCGGTCGACCGGTGGTGTGTAGTCCGGTCGCCCGGTGCGGGTGACCGGTGTTGTTCCTCAGAAATGAACAACTCATCGTTTTGGCGAGGAACAATGTTAAAAACCTGAATTTTTGAAAGGATTTCAAGATAAACTTATGGAAATCACTATAAACAGTTTCTAAATACCAAATCATGGTTAGAAAACCAAAACCCACATGTAATTCACCATATTTCATCATAACCCAAGTTCAAAACCATAAACCACCAAGAAAATCAAAGTCTAGAACTCAAACCTCTAAAAAATCAGAAATTCAACCAATTCAAGAGGAGTTGCAAAATATCAAGAGGTATTCAACAATTTCCTTTCGTCGATCACAAGTTTTAAACAAAAGCATAAGAGAAATTCGAGTTTAAACCAAAGAGAAAAAGGAAAGAAAACCTACCTCAGAAATAGAAGCATCTTCCTCAAAATTTCTTTAGGGCATTGCATCTCAACGTCGTCCTCTACGTTTTGAAGCGGGTGGTGTCGACCACCACCACCGGAAATGGAGGCTCACGGTGTGGACGGCGGCGGAGCACCGTTGAGTTACCGGGCATGACGGATTCCATAGGCAATATAGGTGTCATCTCGTTCTCCTCTTCATTGTGAACTCATAGAAATAAGAATCACTCAATTCCAATCAAGAACGAGTGAGTTATTGAATTTTGAAATTAGAAATTTCCTTTGGAAAGAGAGAGAGTGATCGAATAAAGAGAGAGAGAGCCATGAGAGAGTGAAGGAGAGAGATAAATAATATCACCAAGAGAGAGGGAAGAAAGAAAAGAAAGAAAAACAAAAAAATCATCGGTGAGTTTTCATTCATTCTCTGTTTTTTCTACTTCTTTTTAATAGTTTTTTCACCTTTATTCTTTGCATTTCTAATATTGTATTTTATATTTCAGACTTCACCACCTGAATTTGTTGAGTTTATTGGGACTGAGAATCGAGTTTCTCCCCCAAACTCTCTTATCAATGCAGCACCGAAGAATGTGGTTAGTAGATATCATACTATTCCCTAATATTTTTGTATATACGTCTACTATTTCAGTACTAAGTTTGTTCTTGTATTCTAGCTATTCACGAGTTCTTCTTTTGTTATATATATATATATATATATATATATATATATATTATAGGCCGCTCCACCAAAACGCAAACGGAGAATAATTATGCCTTCAACTATACCTCAACTTCCTCATCCAATGCCTCCTCCTGAAATCGAAGAAGCTGAGGAGGAGGAGGTGGAGAAGAAGAAGAAGCAGAACAAGAAGAACAAAGAGCAGACTACCGAATGCGTAACTCTCTGATTTGAAGGGAATCGTGTCGTTTTGGGGTTAGGGCTTGGGATGAAGAAGCTCTCTGTGGATTTTGGTAAGATCAGAAGAAATTAGGGATATTTTTCTTTCAAAATTTCGGTTGGTAAAGCAGATTATGCTAACTTGTTAACTACAAAAATATTAAGAGAGGACTACGTTTAGTAATCGGAAACGAATCCTTTTTTTTTTCTCTGATTGGAAGATGGGTTTATCCAATTGTTACTAAGCTATCTCTTTCTTCATTCTCGAAAAAAAAAAAAAAAGCTATTTCTCTCTTCAGTCGTTACTTGTGGTCTTTCAAGAATGAAGATCATTTCCATGTTTCCGAATTTTGTGATAGTGTCGTGCAGAGTAGAGTTTATCGTATTCATTCGCTTCCCTACGGTTATTACATTTTTCTACAGTTATAAAAAGTACGGATAGTATGATTCATGATGTTTACACGTGTAGCATATAACAGTTATTATACAACTGCGATTCTCTCTCTATATACAGAAATGCGTGTAGCGTGAACGAGAAAGCTAACGAATTACATCAAGTTTTATCCATTTGAATTTTGGATTCTATAGATATGTACTAGTATGTCCTTAAAGAGTTCATCCTAATTCCAATCTCAGATCATCATCTTAACCTAATTATTCAAAAAAGCAAGTAATTTTACCGTACCAAATCCATTAACTTGCTCTTTCTGAATCAATGAGAAACAATTTCAGGCACACACAAAAAAAAAAAGAAAAATAAATCAGTTAATGAATAAGAAATTACAGACCTTGATTGATCTCAAACTCTTCGAACTCGTTATCGTCTTCAAAGAGATCGATTTTAGCCTCTTCCGTAGCTGCCTTGGGCTCTGTTGCCATGTCTGATCTCAAATCAAATACTTGAAAACAAAAAAAAAAAAGGCTTGAATTAGGGCATTGTTCAGAAAGGGGAAAAAGCGATTGAAAGTCACGATTGTAGAAAGATTTCAATATTTCAGACCCAAATCAGAGAGAATAAGAAGGAAATAAAACCCTAAAAATACCGATTGAAGCAATTAGGTGAAAGTTGAGAAGACTGGAATGAAATTTCTAGAGAGAGAGAGAGAGAGAGAGAGAAGAGGTTTCAATAAGTATCTCGGGACTTTGTCAAAATACGATACATACCCTGAGTTTTTTCTTTTTAATGAAGTACCTTTAATTTTGGGATAATTACTTATCTTGAAATATTTAAATGCAATATCGATGTAGTTGTCGACCCAAGGGCCCCCCCCCCCCCTTTTTTTTTTTTTTTTTTTCTTTTTCTTTCTTTCTTTCTTTTTTTTTTTATTGAAAGGGCGTTTAATTAATAGACTTTTTTTAGGATCAAATTAGTTGAACTCCACGTGCAAAAGTAATTTGTGTGTTAACTTATAATTAACTAATTCTCATGTTATTATTAAAAATATAATAAATCTTAATATAAAATCTTAATGAGGAACCAAAATAAGAAAAAAATTAAATTTTAAGGCAAGAAGCTAAGATAAATTTAAAAAAAAAAGACTAAAATGAATAAATAAATATTATTTTTGGACAAAAGGAACCAAAACCAAAAAATACAGTTTTAGCTTTAGGGAAAAAATAAAAGGCGTCAAAAAAGACAAAAATAAAGAAATAACTAAATTTTAGTGTAAAATGAACCAAAACAAAAAAAAACTTTTTGAGAAACAAATTAAAAAAAGAGTCAAAAAAGGACAAAATGAAAAAATAAATAAGTTTTAAGACAAAATGAGCAAAAAAGAAAAAAAAAAGTTAAAGTCTCAAGTAAAAAATAAGAAAGAGGTCAAAAATTGATTAAAATGAAGAAATAAATAAGTTTTAGGGGAAAATGAACAAAAAAAGGAAAAATTTCAAGAGAAAAAGAAAAAAAAATAAAATAGGACTAAAATGAAGAAATAAATAAGCTGTAAGGTAAAAAAAAAATTAAGGCAAGAAGCAAAGCTTCTCCGAGAAGTGTTCTAAGGCATTTGGTATATACCATCAAAATGACAAAAACGACCAAACAAAAAACAAATGAAGGAATAACAAGCTGAGGGTAAAATGATAAAAGCAAAAAGTGAGGGGACGCACACAGAATTTTTTAAAAGTTAAGGGACAAAAAAGACGGATAGTATATACCACTGAAATGACCAAAATGCTCAAACAAAAAACAAATGAAGAATGCAATAATAACACTTCTGTGCATCAATCTCTCCAAGTTATTAGTTCTGATCTAGTGATGTTCGTACGCATTGTTCCATTTTGTTGGCATAAATTTTTAAGTTTAAACAAAACCAAGTTTATTTAGCTTTAGATTTTGAAATAAATCTAAAGCTCATATTTCTTGCAAGATCATGTTTGAGACTTGGATTCAGTATAAGGTGGGAGAAGAGATTCAGAAAGAAGCAAGAAAGTGCCTATGCTTCACCAAAGAGTAGTATCAAATCTGATGGAAGATGAAAACTTCTGAAGAATTTGAAGAAGACAGTGGTGGAAGAAAATTCTTCCGTGACGCTGATTTTTTGCTTGTAAATGGTAATTGTAACTTCGCTACTGCAAAAGCATCCGTACGTAATCAACTATTCTATAATGATTGTTCAACTATATTCAATAATATTAAATTAGTTTACTTTTTAATTTTAATATGGTTATATTGTGATCTAATTGTAGATTGGTAAATATATTTCTTAACTAAAATTATCATATTTGTTTATTAGAAAACAAACTTTTTGAGGTATAAAACAATAATATTGTGCCTGTTTGGTTTATTGATTTAAATAAAAATTGAAAGTTTTGATAATCTATAAAGTTTAAAACAATAATATTTCAAGTTTTGATAATCTATGAGGTATAAAACAATAATATTTCATTAAGGAACGCGGGAAATCTATAAAGTTTGTATATGAATTACAAGTTTGCCACATTCCCACTTTCCATGTGCCTGTTTGGTTTATTGATTTAAATAAAAATTGAAAGTTTTGATAATCTATAAAGTTTAAAACAATAATATTTCAAGTTTTGATAATCTATGAGGTATAAAACAATAATATTTCATTAAGGAACGCGGGAAAGCTATAAAGTTTGTATATGAATTACAAGTTTGCCACATTCCCACTTTCCACAAGGTGATGTGCAAATGTAGCTTATTAAATTTGCATATTGGAGCAGCATGAAGATTTACATTTGCTTGGTTTTGTTCTTTCAGTTCATTGGTAATTTTCAGGAAACATGTGGCATAAAGACCAGCTGGGGTGCTGGTGAGTGTGCTTTAGCTCATCTGCCAGTATCTCTTTTAATACCTAAAACTCCAAGAAGATTTGGCAACTTTGGTTAGTACTAAGGGAGCTTAACTAAGTAGTTTTCTTTCCTCCATGCAGTTATTGTAGCCGAAGTTGTTGCTCTTATTGCTCTTATTGCAACTTGAAGTTTCTACTAGGATTAGGTTGTTGCCATCCAAGCATGGCCCTTATGCATTGGTTCATAATTTCTAGTTATAACTTGAACCTATTCGATATGGAATATCCTTTTAGATCGTAATATGCACACATGGTTTAACCTAAGTTAATTTCACAAGTGAACTATAATCAGGCTGGGAAATCTTTGCTCTCTATGCTAATTAGGTGTAAAAGGCAAGCTTGTTGCCCTTATGTTGTGTTGAATTTGCAGAATTATGCAGAATTTGGATGCTTTTGTTTCTGCTTCTTCTTCTTGAAAGTAGAACTGGCACAATAACCTTTCTCCGTCGCCTTCTTTGAAGAGTAAACGCAAGAGGTAGGATGACAATTAACACGTGTTTGTTGTTTTATCTCAAAGGGATGTTTTCTAATTGTGTAAACTTTAGAACTAATGTAGGTGAAACTGGCAACCAGAATTTCATGTAAATGGCGAAGTACAAACGGTTGAATTCTGATCTCTACTCCGTATAGATAGTTCCAAGCTTACGGGAAGTTATAGCATGAGTGTAAACTATTTGATGGTACAGAATGGCGACGACATGCAAAGATTAGAAACACCGTCTTGGAGAAATATATTTCTCTCATCCAGAGGAAGAGTTTGATGCTGCTATTTGTTGCCAATATGCGGGTTGTTGCAGTCCATAACTCTGCAAGGCGTTCTTTCATACACACTATCATCTCTTACCAATGGAACAGAAAAATTTTGGGATAATTCCTATGTTGTCAATCCAGATAGCATTTAGGGTATTAAGTTCCTGTGAATTCTGTGTATCATATGTCTTCCTATATTTGTTGTGAACGAGAATGGTTGTAGCCTGTAAGTTTTTTTTTGAAAGAACTGTAGCCTGTAAGCAGAATGAATTAGATTTTGAATTAGATTTCACGGGAACTGAAAAGCACATTTAATTCTTTTTATATCTCTACCAATTTTTGAACATTGAATGTACATTTTTATTGTATATTTTGATTACTCATTAATACTACTTTTTGTTGTAACTATATTGTGCATGAGAAAATGAAAAAAAAAAGAATTAATTATCATAAATTTATTGCTAGGAAACTCAAAATTATAGCATATGTTTTTTTTTTTAAGTTAAACAAGTATTTTTAAATACCAAAAATAATTATATATATTTAAGTTTCATACAATGTCTATTTTGGTCATTTTAACTACCCACAGCAATTCAACCTCATAATTTACCAAACGCTATTACACTGATTTTAGAACCAGCACAACTACTATAATTATAATTTATTAAACATTCAGTTGCTTTTTGTAACAGCTTCTTCCCCATTCACCACAACTAAAAGTAATTTTTTCAAAATCCACAGCACTACCAAACTAAGCCTAAGTGAAATGTTTATGCTTCCAATTAATTTTCCCACAAGTCTATTGTTTACACTAGATATACAGACACTAACTTTGTTTTTTTATGTTGATTTCTCCTAAAATCTTCCAAATAATTTTTTCTCAAGGCTATTGAAATGTTCACCCCGAAATACCTTAATTACTATTCACACTAGCCTCTATTCTGAATCAATTTTGAACGTTAAGTTTAAATTATTTTTAATTAATAGTTATAAGAAAATAAGTTTTTAATTTAAATCAGTTTGATTTAGATTATGATTCATTTACAGTTATATATATATATATATATATATATATTACATTCTCATGGAAAAGCTTGTACTATCTAAAATCTAAATCTATTATTTAGGGTTAGGGTTTGAGGTTCCTTTTTCCTAGCGACATAAAAAAAGGGAAAAAACAATGTACGTCGCACAAGAAGCAGTGGCTTTGAAATTCCGCGTTAGCACAGCTGGGAACAGGAATTTTTGGCCTCAGAGGCGTTCAATATGTCCACGAATTCAGAACTCGCCTTTGAAGACGACGCGTTGCTTTGTCGATGATCATGAAAACGAGAGATATGGATTGTCCGTACACCCTCGTCTGATCGCGGTGGCTCCTTCAGTGGCTTGGGTTCTAAGCAAAGAGTATGGCTCCTCCGGGGTGTTGAGTATTGAACGCCCTAAGTCGGACATGTCTCAGAAATCTCCTTCCAAGAGCGCCACGGCCAATCCAGCTCTTGATGACGGGGGCGGCAACACAAAAGACGGAGGCGACGGCGTGGACATTGGCGGTGGAAGTGGAAGCGGCAGCAGCGGAGGAGCTAATGACGACGACAAGTACAGATTTGATGACGACGATGATGATGAGGAGGGCTTTTCCTTGTTCGGAAAGCGGGTTTTGGCTCCGGAGATTTTCGACCGGATCACTATGAATGCGGTGTTGAGTGAGTGGAAGCAGACGATGAAGGACTTGCCTAAGGGCTTACAGCGGGCGTGCGAGATGGGTTTGTTGACAACGGCGGAAATAACGAAATTCTTTTGGTTCCACACAAGGCCAACACTTGCTAGGCTCTTCGTTCGCCTTCTTCCGAAAGGCTTATCGATGGATTTCTACGCGAAGATGATGTCTGATCCGGCGTTGCCATGGAAGGTAATTTTTGAGGCCGTTTCTTCTGTTGGTTGGTCTGTGCGGCTGGACTTTGAGAATAAATATAATCATGGAAAAGAAAGCGAGTGGAATAGTAATGATTTTATGATCAAACGAGAGTGGCATTCGGTAGTTGTTAAGGCAGTCACAAACGCCGCTTTCAATACCTTCATCGTATTCTCTTTGGCCCCTTCTTCGGAGTTCATCCGTTTGCGAAATCTCCCCAACAATGTCTTTGAGAAGAGCCGACGTTTTCAGCAGTTTGATATGCAGAAAAGGGCTCTCTCCTTCTTCCGCAAGGCGGTTTCTCTCTTCACTCTTGGATTCGCCACAAAAGCAGCCGCCGAAATCCGGTTGCTAATCAGTACCGATCATAAGAAAACCAGGTCAATTGGGACATTTGCAACTCTGAGCAAGGAGGCACTCGCCGCAGGGCTATCATTGGGTTTGCTTGTGAATCTCCGGCATCAGCTGATGTGGGGGATCGATAGAAAACTCGACCGCCACTTCGATGTTACGAAAGTTTCGCTTGCTTTTTGTTTGGCACTGAGGTTTCTGAACGTTGGCATTGGAACTCAGTCTCAGAAGTACTGGATTGGCTCTGAGGATCAGGACCTGAATCATCTTCTGGTTCCGAATTTCGAAGATTATAGTTGGCTTGGTTTAAAGAACATCGTTGTAACTGGTTCTAGACTAGGTGACACTTCCAACAAGACTCAAACAGCTGCTAAGAGAAAAAGGGTGGTAAAGAAAAAGGTGATAGCTAATCAATGTTAGTTAGATCTACGTAATATGAAAAAGGTTATTATACATAGTTGATTATCGCTAAAATTACTGCTGAAATAGAGATTTCACTGCTATAACAGCTAGATTTCTAGTAATTGTTGTTAGTATCTTTTGATAATCAGAATATTAATCGAATTTTATGTCTGTTTTGACTGTTGTTTTGTAAGGATTGCATGGCGACTTCAACAGTTCTGTTAAAAACAATTGTCTCTCTTCTTTTATATCTTTGATAATTTATGGTCAACCATATGCAGGGAAAAGTTCTGTTTGTAGTCTCTGTCCAATTATTGTCGGTTCTTTGAAAAGCATTACTTATTGTACTTAACTGCCAACAGAGTTTGAAAAAGTTCTGCTTTTTTCCCCTACTAATTTGACCAACTCTTTTATCTACTAATTTAAAAAAGCTTTTTTTTCCCCTCTCATAAATAGATCAGCATCAGCCTGTTTAGATGAATGCTTAATTTAAAGGCTCTTGTGAACAAGAGCTGCTTAAGAAACTTCTAATCAGATTAGTCTTTTGAATGATATTTCGTTTTAAGGTCCTGAAAACTGATTTGTGTCTTAGAAATTTGTGATGTTGGTTTCTAAAGGAGCCACCGTCTTTAATATTGTCTATTACCTCCTCTTTGCAAATTCTTCATTAAATTACTCTTTTTCTCCTCTTTAAATTTTCCACTCATTTCATGTTCTCTAGTGGGCGAAGCTGTTTGCCTAGAACACCTTCTGTTCCTTTGCATCTTATTAATTCTTTCAATTCATTTCGAATTAGGGAAATTACAGCTTACATTACTTTGGTTAATAAATTAAAACAGTTTACAGTTTTGATATATCAGTTGCTCGTATCAATGCATGTGAATATTTGCATGCCAAGACTCTATGCCATAAGGACTTGCTGTTTCATCTTTTCCATGGTATTGTTACTTTATACACTTCCCTTATTTTTTATTGTGCATAGTTTAGCTACGTTTTTTTTTTTTTTTTAAAGGCTATTTAATACAAGTTGGCATCTTAGAAAGTGGTCTTAGACTAAAGATCAGTATCTCCTAACATTTGCTTGTCACGACTTCCTTGGTGGGGCCATGACCCCCAACAATATTAACATGTGAGTAATGTTCAGTTCAGCAAAGTCCTCCATTGGTTTGGAACTTTCTGTGTGGGCTGATCATGGGGGCATTTTGTCTTTATAGGGAAATAGGTCCTATAGATGCTGAGCCCATAGACATCTGTGCTGTTTGTTACTACAATTCAAACCTTTTCGCTGTAAAACTTTCAATTTTTATTTAAATCAATAAACCAAACAGGCACAATATTATTGTTTTATACCTCAAAAAGTTTGTTTTCTAATAAACAAATATGATAATTTTAGTTAAGAAATATATTTACCAATCTACAGTTAGATCACAATATAACCATATTAAAATTAAAAAGTATACTAATTTAATATTATTGAATATAGTTGAACAATCATTATAGAATAGTGGCCCACCACGCCCACTACTACTCAGGTTTGTCTTCTCTTCCTTTATTTATTTTGTGCTTTATGCCCACTTCTTTTACTGAAAAGTTCAAGAGTTTTCTCTCTTTTATTTTTTTATTTTTTTTAAAGATCTATGAACATTTGAGGTTTTGTCTGTAGCTCATAAAAGCTTTGTAGATAATGTGTCTTTTGTCCTTTACTACGTTTACAATACAAGCTTTGTAGATTCATGCTTGTGGTAATGGTTTGTCTACTTTATAAATTATAACTTTTATTTTTTTAATAATAAATTAATTTAGTTTCTATTTCCTATGAATAATTAAAGATTTTAATTATTGATATTTGGTACAAATTATTTGATTAAGTAGAACTTGAATTTGTGTGTGGGTTAGTTATTGAGAAATATTATGGTAATATTTTTTATATTTACTGTTGTTCTATTTATTTGTTGTAAAATATACTTTATATCCTATCGAAATTTTATCCTAGCTCCGCCACCGGCTATAAGCAGCAATATGAAGAAAAGTTTTCATTCTTTGCAAGTGCCAGTATATGTTAAATTTCAGACAGATAATTGTAGGCTGGAATATTTGTAAGTTAGAACTCCCAAAACTTAACCTTTTGGTAGTCTTCATCCTTAATTACTAAAAGTTAATAGTGTTAGCAAGAATTCCCACTAAAAGTTTACCAAGAAAAAAGTGATATTGACATAATTCTTGCAAAAAATAACTGCTACTGTTCGTGACCAAAAACAAAGGCACATAAGTGGAATCAATGTTAACATCCGCAAGAACACAACTTTTATTGCATAAACTTTCACACCGACACTTCCATTAATACACGAGACATCGGGCATGGAATATTGAAAAGATTTAGCAACTTCAATATGACACCCATGTGCTATCTGATGATTAAGGGCCGTTTGGTGCGCAGAATTATGGAGAATTAGATATGATTAAATTTTAATACTATATTTGGTGAACATTTTTAAATTGAACAGGATAAATTTTTGTCCAGCCCCTGCCCAAATCCCCTTAGAAGGGGATGTTGCTATCCCCTGCTGAAGTATGGGATAACTTTTAACTAGTGGTTATTTGGTTTACAGGTTCAAGTTAGTGATTTTAATTTTGAATTTAAATTTTGTGAAAAAAACCCATTGACGGGAACTTTTTTTATTCATTTTTTTTTTTTTTTTGTGAGAGAGCAGAATCAGAATCATGGGTTCAAGTCCTAGAGCCAAACGCGTCCTAGAGCACATTATGAAAAACAATAAGGACCTATTTGTAAATTTTATAAAACTTAGGGCCCAATTATAATTTTTTAAAACTTGAGGAGTCAAAATGCAATTGTTCCGTTAATTTGCAATATCTTCCCAATAAAAAAAACGTGTCACACACCCGTAAATATAAAGAAGATAGTTCAATATATTTTCTAACTCTTTCTCTCTGTCTATTTGTATATATAGGCATACTATATGTAAAAATAATTACAGTTATTGGAACTAGAATATCTTCAAGATTTCTTATCAATACAATATAAAATGCAAAACGGACAAAATAGATCGTGCAGATTCCTGAGATCAGAAAAATATTATGCATGTAACATCATCTATTAGTATAAATTTTCAATCGTCTTGCTCAATAAGTGCAGTAATTTATGGTCAGTAAATAATGTCTTATACTATTCCCATTGTGATGCCATTTACATTTAGCAATCCAACGTGCAACTGCGTAAATACAAGTTATTACTGCTATATATATGGAGCTAAAAAAGCAGGAAAAGAAAACTAAATGAATAAAATTTATTTGAGAAAGTGCCATATTGCGTTACAAAACTTACAATACAGATACAAATTAAGTTCATATGATATTTACAAAAGTAAATGAAAGAGAAAAACTGCTTGAGCTAAATTTCATCTGATACAGTCATGATTTCCCCCTGGATTATTCTAAGGCAGAAAACTTGCTCATATGAAAGGGATTTTTTTTTTTTTTTTTTTTTTTTTTTTTAAAAGGAAAGCTCTATCTTATACCGCCATTATAAGTCAAGATATACAGAGCAAGATATACGGCGCATTAATAATTGCCTAATTGGTACACTATAGTACTATTTACCTTTTTTTTTTTCTTTCCATATATATCCACTTTCTAATTGGAGTTTCTGTCCTTTTTGACAAACATGTATCATGACTTGAGAAGGTGAAAAATTTTGTCAATATCTCCCCAATAATATACATTGGTAAAGAAACGTGAGAAAAGGTAAGACATCAAAATCAATAGTGCCATTCCCTCAAAAATAAAATAAAACTATAGTGCATGCCCATCACAAATTCTACTCGTCCCCAAAAAGGAAGTCTTCACCAGAAAGGTAAATGAGCCTCTCCCTCCTCCATTGATCATCTTGATCATGATTATCATGATGATGATGATGATTTTTTGAGGACAACAACTTAGATCTACACAAAGGACAAGTCCCTTGGCCCTGATCAATCCAAACATCTAAGCACTCTCTATGAAACACGTGGCAACAACTGAGTGGCACTCTCACCTCATCGCTTTCCTCTATCCGGTCCAAGCATATTATGCAATTGACACTGCCCTTGTGATGATCATCATCTTCATGATCATGATGAGCTTTTCCTGATCTATTTCTTTCCAAGAAGCTCCTGTATGGCGTCGCCGGAAGCTGTTTCTTAATTGATTCAGCGAAAAAGTAGGCGGGGATAGGCACCAATGCAGCAGAAGGCCGATGATGTATCCGATCATGATCATGACCACCAGGTGGGGAATCTTCATCAGGTATGCTGATCAGATGTAGGAGAAGATGAGAGGACATTGTGCTGAACAAACGTGCAAAGAGATGAGAGAATATTAGAATGAGAATATGTTTTAAAAGGGCAAACAAAAAGTTCCCATCAGAGGAGAGTTTGATCAAGATCAGCTTGGGATCAGCTGATCTAATAATGCTCAAAGAGGGAAAATATAATTCCATTGAAACCAAGGAAAAAGCAAAAATATTGTATATGATTCAAGAGAATGTGCTTTTCTGTTTATAATAATATTGCAAAAAACAATGCGCAACTTGACTTAGATAATCATACGTATATAATACGGTTAAAGTGGGCCAAGAACTTTTAATAATTTTAACCATTTTTTGACGTTTTTTCTATGATCCAGTAAGTGCCACGCAGTCTTCTACCAAATAAAACAAAACGGCCATCTCATATACCGGGCCAGTACCATAAAATTTCAAGTTGAAATTGGCTTTCATAAGTGATACATTATTGTTCTATAAGGGGACAAAGAAACTTGATACATTAATGTGAAAGCACAAATAATTATGTATTAATCGCTTGCCTGGAGTGGAGATTAATTCAACTTTTTGAAAGTTGATATACAATTAGCTATCTCAAGGCCGAATTAATTGCCTCCCTAGAGAACATTATATACAGATTATTAACTACGTACGTATTCTTTTAATATATATGTGTATATATAAGTAACTTATACGTAGG